TTTACTTTATTAGTAGTAGTGCTACGACACACACACACACACACACACACACACATATATATATATATATATATATATATATATATATACTGATCTTGAGGGCTCTTTGGTGGCATTATTATTAAAATTACATATTCATTGTTTTAAATGTATTTTGTTTTTAGAGAGTTAAAACACAGTAATGCAAACTGGAGTTTTCCATTTAGGAAAAGAAACAATTGACTTATTACTTAATATAAAGAAATATATTATTTCTGCTGTTATTTTGCATTATTATGTTACTGGGATTAAAAGAACTTTAAATTGATATGTACATGCTGATCAGATACATAAAAACAAAGTAGTTGCTTTATATAATTCTAGTCCAAGTGATGAGACTTAGTGATACCTGCTGTCTTGAATAGTGCACAAAACATCATTGTTATTAGAGCTGGACAATCAGTAATTTTTGATAATCAGTGGCCCTATTAATGATCGTACTTGATTAATTTATTTTTATAGTGTTCTTCAAACCATGATACATACAAGCAAAAAAATAAATACATAAATGTGTGATTAGTGCTGCCAGCAAGTTGCTTTCCCTTTATTCACCAGTTCAAATTTAGTGACAATATCAAATTGCCTTAGTAGCTTTTCCATAACAAAGACAGGGCGAACAAGTTTAATGACAATATCAAATAGCCTTAGTAGCTTTGCCATAACAAAGACAGCGAGCAAGTTTAGTGATAATATCAAATACCTTAGTAGCTTTGCCATAACAAAGACAGGGCAAGAGCAAGTTTAATGACAATATCAAATAGCCTTAGTAGCTTTGCCATAACAAAGACAGGGCGAGCAAGTTTAGTGACAGTGGGAATCAAATCCAAGGCCCTTTATTCACATGCACCTTTCCAATTCACCAAAGCTAAATATATTTGAAATTAAAAACAAATTTACAAGTCCAAAATTGGGCAGAGCACAGACAGGTCATTATGTAACTTTGTACTTAAGAACAAACAAACATAATAGCAATAATTTGATTACTAGGGCAGTTGGAATAATCAAAAATCATAATAATAAGAAACCCTTATTTTGATAATTTGATCATTTTTGTGACATTCAATTTGATCATAATATTAATTAAATCAACTGTTGGAATTAGTGGAAAACACCAATTTCAGTTAGTTCAATATTTTTGTGACAATCGATATAACCAGAATTTCAATTGATTGTTGGAATACTCAGAAACACAAACTTTGATTAATTGATTCAGTCATAATTTTTATTAATTGATTGGGGGAATAATCAAATACCGTACTAATTGGAACACTAATTTCAGTTAATGGATTAGTTTATGTGACAGTAATCGATGTAACCTTAGCTCTTAGGCAATTGATTAAATGTCGCCTAGTTATAGCTTCTTTTAATTTATGTATTGCTTTTCTGGTAATAGACTTTGCCAAGTAATTGAATTTTGTGACACATTTTGGAATGTGTGATACTGCAATGGAAAATGTGATTTACATACATACATACATACTGTCCAGCAGATGGGCTAAAATAATATATGATAATACCAGATGAAACAAAATGCAGTTTGAGTTTGTTTTTTGTGCAAATAATATATATATATATATATATATATATAAGT